CAAAGATGTGTGCCATTATTATTGCAGTCCATTTGGGAACATTTCCATCACCCACAAAAAAGTTTGGTGTCTCTTAGCTATCTCCCACCACCTCCTTAATCCACCACTAACCTACTTCCTCTCTCTGTTTTTGTTGTTTTGTGCTACAGTGCTCCTGTAGAATAACTTGAACTTCCCCATATGGTTTCCAAGGCTGTAATCTTTATGGAAGAAGACTGTCACTTATCTGCATTAGAGCAACTGATGGTTCCTTCTGGTTAGCAGCTGAGCACTTAAGTACAGTGCCACCAAATCTGCTGTTCCTGTTACTGGTAAGTAAGGATTTTCATGTGAGTAGATCATATAGTTTGTGGGATTCAATGAATTACTTTTTCAATTATCATCCTATTTTCAAAATATTGTTGTTGTTCTTGTTGTTATGTGCCGTCGAGTCAGACTTGACTCATAGTTACCCTCCTTGGGTTTCCAAGGCAGTATCACTATGGAAGTAGATTGCCCCATCTTCCTTCTGAGGAGTGGCTGGTGCCTTTAAACCAAAAGCCTTCTGGTTAGCAATCAAGTTCCTTAGCCACTATGCTACCAGAGCTCCCTTTCAAAGTATTTGAATTATTATTATTATTATTAGGAAGACGGGGCAATCTACTTCCATATTGATCCTGCCTCGGAGACCCAAGGAGGGGTCGCTATGAGTTGGGTCCAACTCTATGGTGCATAACAACAACAACAACAACAATAATACATTAAAAAATTCAAAATATTAGTGACCTAACATTATTCCGTATAAAGATATATGATCTATACATATGGTTTCACCTCCTATTCTCCTGCCATCTAGGTGACACAGAGTCATAAGAGTTTTCTAAAAGGCTCTGTGTCTGACTGTAACATGTCAGTGCCTCCAGAGAAACAGTGCCTGAACCAGGCTAATGAAAGGCTATAAAGCAAAATTAAGATCAGATATTGACCAGAGGCACAAGAGTCATTATCATGGACAGTCACTTAGTGCCATTTGGGAACCACATGTTCAGAAATGCTTCTGGGAATATGCTTCCTTAGAGTTTTCAGAGACCTATACATGCTTCTGTTGTCACATTAGTTCACATTCTGTTCTCACAGAGATTTATTCCGACACAGCTATCAAATAGATGACTCTTTGGATTTAAATGTGTATGTTTTTTTTCAGTGGGAATTCTTTTTATTTTTCAGTCTTAAGTACTTTTAAGACATTAAATTTGTATTGCAAAATCCCAGTTTGTTAGCCTGTAGAATAAATATCCAATGTTCTTTGCATCTCTTATGTTTTAGTGGATATACAAAGTCCACTATCCTTGCAAAACTGTAGAATGTCCTAAGGAGTTTTTAGACTTCTCTGTTTTAGAGAATTGACTGAGATGTATTTGAATTATTGGTTTATAATCTTCTGGATTTCACTTAAGAAACAGATGCTGAAGAAGAATTAGCATACTGCATCTCTCTGAGTGAAACTCTGATGGAGACTAAATGGATGAAGTCAGATTTGTAAGTCAGTGAATGAGCTCTGCTACCTGGAATTGGGGAAACCCCACTGACCATGTTTCCTCAGAATATAGGCTATTTGTCTTTATTCTTTCTATATTATATATTATTTCTTAAGGTTATAACTTCTCTTTCATTATGTGATTATTTGATTAATATAAAAATGCTAGAGCACAGTTTAGTTTTAAGTGCACACAACCAGAATTTCAGTTGGGGAAATCCCACTGACCATGTTAGCTCAGAATATATTCTATTTGTCTTTATTCTTTCTATATTATACATTATTTCTTAAGGTTATAACTTCTCTTTCATTATGTGATTATTTGATTAATATAAAAATGCTAGAGCACACTTTAGTTTTACGTGCACACAAGAAGAATTTCAGTTGGTAAGAGTAGAGTTAGTTAATGAAATCTTCAAGTTGGCCATGAATGTTACTAAGTCCCACTCTGATTGATGCTAATGTAGCTTCCTTCATAATCCTACCAAGGAACAACCTTAATTATGTTTAAATATGTACAATAATGAAGAATTGCTCATATTTTAATAAGCATGTCCTCTTAAAAAAATTAGATTCATCTGTGTCAACAGTGGTAAGTTTATAGCATGGCACGTTCTCAGTCCCCTATGAGAAAATTTAACTTGTGGTAGAAACTGTGCTTTAACTATAAGAGTATTGTTCTTATTTTGCTGAGAGAGCACAACAAAGGGTATGCAGAATATATTGAATGTTGTTAATGAGATTATTTATTTTTACTGCAAGGAAAAATTCATTATACTGGTTAATGTCAAGCAATGCTTGAAAATAGCCAATCTATCATCAGAGTAACTTATTATGCTTTAACTAATAGAATACACATTGAAGGTTACCTGATCACCTTCCTTAAACATATGCTGTATGTTCCTTTGGGGGGAATGACTTTTGTTTCCTCCTTGAACTTGGTCATGCATATGTGCATGGTAGTTTGAATAGTTCGTGAACTAACTCTTCTCTCAAAGAAGAATTTGAAGTAAAAATAAACTAATGTGTGCTGTGAACAATGCATGATACAAGGTGCTTTATATTAACTTGTTTATCTCTCATTATGTTTCAGAATGATGTATTCATAGCTCAATTGCATACATAAGGAAAATGAGGCTTAAAAAATTATACAATAAGCCTAAAATTCACCAGACATAAGTTTATTTTATAGCTTTTAATTGTTCCCACCTCTGTCTGTATTCACTGCTTATGTAGTAGTTGGCTAATACTTAATTCATTTTATCAGATATTTCACTTCTCTCCTAGGGATCTTCCTTACAACCTTATTACAAGGATAAGAGATATTGTGTCTTTTTATCTGAACAATCCTTTGTCACCTCCCTGTATTTATAGTCCCATATACCTTTGCTAAGGAGCTCCTTGGGGCTGTGGTTAAAATAATGGACTGCTAACCAAATGGTCTGCAGTTTGAACCCACAGTCATTCTGTGGGAGAAAGATGAGGCAGTCTTCTTCTATATATACTTGAAAACTTGGCAACCCATGGAGGCATTTCCTCTGTGCCCTATGTAGAGTCCGTATGAGTTGGAATCAACTCGATGTCAGTTGGTTGCGGGTTTTTTTTTTTTTTTTTGTTTACTTTGCCAACAACAATGATAGTAACATCATGTTCTGATGGAAGATAAGATTTTAATAGCTATTTTACGCTAAACACCCATAATGGTCTAGAAAACAAGCAAGCATCTTGACTGCTTGAAATTATATTTTGGTAAAATTAAACGAAAATAATTTAAAATGACTTAAAATCTGAGAATTGTCTTGGTATGTTTGTGTGAACTGATAACTTATCAACATGCATGTTCCATGCCACACATTTTCCCTGTAGCGTCATATTTTGCTCTTAGTATGTTGCAATACCAGATTGAGAATCAGGATATTTGGTTTCTACTATCCATATGGTATTTCTCTCCAATCCTGAGGAATTATTTAGCTTTTCTTGATTTTTCACTTATTTATTGTAAAACAGTCTATTGACTGTAACATCAGATCCTGACTAAGTTAGAAGGTGGGCTATCATTTTGAAAGCTCTACTAGGTTTCTCACAAATTCTAATAACTGGAAAAAATAGCCATTGGAAGTACATTCTTTCTATTCTGCACTATTTTTTCACTTGTGGAAATATTTCAAGATTAATCAAAATATACATGTGATTCTAGAATTTTTATTCTATTCACTCACACAACAAAAATTTTAGTTGACAATTAAGTTTTTCTTGGTTCTATTTGTTATAATATTCTTTTATTGGCAATTATTTCCTAGAGTGTGTATGGTAGTAGGAATCTAACACAAGCCATAAAATAGGAATAATGTAAACACCCTTAAACAATTTTACCTTTATATCTTTCCTTTAACTTCAAAAAAATGAATGATACTATACTGTTAAAAACAGTTTTCAACAAATGAGATATAAAAAAAGAAAAGAAAAGAAAAAAGAGAAAACCTCACTACTGTGGAGTCAGTTCCCACTCATAGCGAACCCTCTTTGGGTTCCAAGGAGATATCTCTATGGAGAATTTGTACCAGCAGCCTTTTTGTTAGCAAACAAATGTCTTAGGCATTACACCATCAGAGTTCCTAAGGTATAAATAGGAAAAGTAAATTAATTTGTAGATTACTTTCTGCCTAAGCTACTTGGCTGCTAACTAGAAGCCTGGCAGTTCAAACCCACCAGACACTTGTCCAAGGAAGACTGACAAATCTACTTCCATAGATATTTCTCCTTGGAACTTAAGGAGGGGCTGCTATGAGTCAGAAACAAATGGAGGGCAGTGAGTTTTTTTTTTTTTTTTTTTTTTTTAATTCATTAATTGAAATTCTTTCTTTTCCTGTACTTTTTTAATTGTAATAAACCTCCACTGGTTAAACCCACAAACAATGTTTGCTCACCTGATAAACAAGAATGCACACTGTACTTACTAAAGTTCAACTATTAAAGGTTACGTGTTTTAACCATATTCAAATTTCCTGAGCCTACACTCTCAGATAATTCAAGGAAGGTGCTTCTTTCTCATCATGCTCTGAGCAGGTAAGTTGATTTTAAGACAAGCTCATTTAAAAATTATCAAAATATGTTTGTTTCTTTGTTTACATATTAAGTAATATAATTGTTATCAAAACCATAATTAAGAGTAAAATATTTTCTTCAAGATCAAACTAACATTTAAAATATTCTTTAAAGTTACTGGTAATTTAAAGAAATACAGAATTATTGCTTTTATTTTTAATATAAATGGTTCACAATAGATTTGTAAAATAGGATATAATAGGAAAAGCACATTAATTCTATAAATACAGAATAATTAGTATTAATGTTGAATCCTACCTCATTTTTGGTAAATTTTATATTATAGTTATTATAGTGATAATCTTTAACACACATTCATATTTTCCTTATTTTCAGAGACGCAACTCATTTGTTAAAAGCAGACAACAAAATGAGATATATGGAAAGCCAGAGCAACATCTCAGAATTCATTCTTCTGGGATTTTCTTATGACCCAAATGTGCAACTGTTTTGCTTTGTGCTATTCTTACTTGTTTATGTTTCCATCTTGGTAGGAAACCTTCTGGTCCTTGTTTCCATTATATGCAGCTCCCTTTATCACCAACCAATGTACTATTTCCTTATTCACTTGGCATCTATGGACATCTGCTACACCTCTAGTGTGACACCAAAACTGATTGGTGACCTGCTAGTGAAGAAAAAGTCCATCTCTTATGGTAGCTGCATGTTACAGGTCTTTTCCATGCACTTCTTTGGTGGTGTTGAGATCCTCATTCTTGCTGCCATGGCCTTTGATCGCTATGTTGCTATCTGTAAACCTCTCCACTACATGATTATCATGAACAGAACACGATGTAATTTTCTTGTTTTAGCTGCTTGGGTTGGTGGGGCTGCCCATTCCTTTCCTCAATTATCTATGGCAATCCTGTTACCCTTTTGTGGTCCTAATGAACTTGACCACTTTTTCTGTGATCTCTTCCCTTTGCTGAAAATTGCCTGCACTGACACCTACATGGCTGGTGTTCTTGTGGTTGCCAATTCAGGTGTTATTTGCTTAGTGACCTTTGTTGTCTTAGTTGTTTCTTATGTCATTATATTATACAACTTGAGAAATCATTCAGCTGAGGGAAGACGCAAAGCCCTGTCTACCTGTGCTTCTCATATCGTTGTGGTGGTCTTACTTTTAGTTTCTGCAATCTTTGTCTACCTTAGACCTCCTACCACTTTCCCAGAAGATAAAGTATTTGCTGTATTTTACACCATCATTGCTCCTATGTTCAATCCCTTAATCTATACCTTGAGAAATAGAGAGATGAAAGATACCATGAGAAAAGTTTGGTGCCAATCTTATTTTCAAAGAAAGAGTACAAATAATTTAAAGAAGACTATCAGATGACCAAGGAGCTCTGGTAGCATAGTGCCTAAGGCACTTGACTGCTAACCAGAAGGCTGGCGGTTCAAACCCACCAGCCACTCCTCGGAAGGAAGATGGGGCAA